TTTTAGAAGAACATCAGAGAGACAAAAAAGTTTTAGAATAGTTTTATCTATCTAACTGAAATTTTTCCAATGTATTTATCATCTTCATAAAAAAAATCTAGGCATAAATTGAACGGGGGTGGTTACGTTTAGTAGTTTAGAAGGGTAGGTTGAAAGTACAAATAGGGTCAAAACGTGCCCTATTATGAGTTAAACATATTCCCCAAATTTCATTTTCCTAGTATTTATGGTTTTTGAGAAAAAGAAATTAAACCAAAATTTTCCGCCATTTTTGGAGGGGTGTAGCTCCTTAGGGGAGCCGAAGTCTTCCATGGTTCATATATCAAAGTACCCTTAAAATTCACTAAAGAATCACCCCTTGAAGTTTGTTGCAGTCATTCAGATACACTCCGTATATATTTCGCCCCGATTTCCAACCCTTATAACTCGCCCTAGGGGCTTTATTAGCACGTATAAAAAAATACGTAAACCGTATTTTTGGCCATACTATTGTTGTACCAAATTTCAAGAAAATCGGTGAAGGACAGTTCTGATACTTCCCTTGTAAGAGACATAGAATTTTATTTCTTATTTTTACCAGAACAGGTATGGGTTGGCCTCTCATCCAGTGACCGTTTGACGTTGAGTTTCGGGACCCTCTATATAATATAGCATTTATACATATTAAAATGTATAAATTGAAATTTCATAGGGATTTTGGGTGTCAGTTTTGACAGTTGGTATCCTTATTACATCTCCGATATGGTCTAGTGGCTAGGATACCTGGCTTTCACCCAGGAGGCTCGGGTTCGATTCCCGGTATCGGAAAGTTTTTTTTTTTTGGTTAAAAGTGTTTTATTTTAAAAATATATCAATGAAATTCGACAGAAATATAATTTTCTTCTCAATATAAATCCTCATGTATGCTTTAAAAACAGAAACTTTATAAAAATAGGATCATTTTTTCGTTTTTCTGTAAAAAGAAAACTTCATATTTTGTAATTATATAAATTTATTTACATTACATCAAATTAAAAATAAATAAGAATAAATCAATGAGATTTCATATGAGTTGACAAAGGTCCTGTTTGTGAAAAAGTTTTATGACAAATTGGGCAGGAATATGGTTTTTCCCCAGTGTGTATCCTCATGTGCACTTTTAATGTGGAAGCTTGATAAAAACCTTTATTACAATGTGTACAAATATGATTTTTCTCCCCTAAAAATTCTCAAATAATTCTTTTAGATTTTTTTTTCTTTTATAATTATTACCAGTATGGGTTTTAATATGATTCTTTAAATCTTCATTCCTTGGAAACGATTTATGACAAATCCCACAAATATAAGGCTTCTCCCCAGTATGCAATCTTATATGTTTATTTAATTGAGAAGAACTCACACAACGTCTATCGCAGAATGTACATGCATAAGGTTTAATTCCAGTATGTATTCTTTTGTGAACTTTTAATCGCGAAGGATCTGGAAATCCTTTTCCACAAGTACCACATATATAAGGACGTTCACCTTTTATTAAAAAAATATTAAAAGTATCATTATAAACAAAAAATCAAAAAAATTACCAGTGTGAGTTCGTCGATGAACAATTAAATTTTGTGGCGTTGTAAATCCTTTCCCACAAATATTACAAACATGATCTCTAACTCCCGTATGAGTTTTCATATGCATTGCTAAAGAAGATGCTCCACAAAGTCTTAAATAAATAATAAATTTAAAATTATAACAAATTATCTTATTCATATTACCTTTTTCCACATAACTCACACTTATGAGTTTTAAGCCCTAAATGAGTTTTATTATGTGCTATAAGACCTGTATAGCGAGAGAATGCTTTTCCACAAACAGAACATACAAAAGTTTTTTCATCAGCATGCGCTCGCATGTGTTCCAACAATCGAAATGATTGTGCAAATGATTTTTCACAAATTTCGCATCGAAATGGTTTCTCTCCTGTGTGAGTTCGCATATGTCGTGTTAAATCATCAGATCTTGAAAAAGCTTTATCACATGCAGTGCACGGATGACGTTTTAAACCATTGTGAACTTTCATGTGTCTGCATAAAGTGCTTGGACTTGCAAAATTTCTGTTACAAAGATAACAAGTGTGCCTTTCACTTTTATGAATTTTTTTCATATGCATTTTTAAATCATAAGTAGTTGTAAAACACATTGTACATTGTTCACAGGGATGTATTGGTTGTTCTGTTTCATCAAATTCTTCTACATTACTTGGTTTAGAAGCTAAAGAATTTGAAGTTGTTAGAGTTTTATCAAATTCTATAGAATCAAAAGTTAAACTTTCACTAATTTCAAGTTCTAATTTGTGTCCATCAACTACATCCCCGATATTATCTTGGGATAATTCTAAATTTAATTCACTTTGATAGATCGCTGGTTTCAAATCCATAAAAGTGTTTGCTCTTTCATTTAATAAGTTTCTTAATGTGTTATTTGATTTTTCACAAAGTTGTTTAAAAGAAAACGCGTTGTTTAAATGAGATATGCATTGGAGACAAAGATGGTCTGGTAAGCCATCATCTTTGCAAACCTGAAAGCAGTTCTTATTTATGTTTGAATCACCTTATTAAATTATTTTAAACCTGTATAGAAGTAATAGAGTTCAACATATCTTCAATGTTAGCGACCAAACCTAAATCTCCAGCAATTGTAAACAAAGGTCTCATTTCGTTTGATTCAAGTAAACAAGTGCGACAAATTTTTGAGAAATCTGTGGCGGTTTCATATGCCATTTTTTGGTTTAAATGATTTTTACATCTTATAAGAATATGAAGATATTTCTGGTTTTAATGGATTTTAGATGCTTTTTCGTTAAAAAGTAAAATATTTTTAGAAATTTATAGGTTAACTGCCAAAGTGACGTTTCTTTTGATTATTTAGGTTATGTTTTACTTAATTAAGAAAATGCATTAAAATATTATGGCAAATTATTATGGAAAAGTGAATACACAGAATTGAAGTACACACATTTTTCTACACATTGAAGTGTTCCGCGTTGTAAAATTGCTGTATTTGTAACATAAAAAAAATCCTAAAGTTTGTCATAAATAACACTTGATGTAAAGCTACTTTTACGAGAAATTAAACATTAAATTGAGATGCCAACGCTTCAAGGATACTAGTAGAATGTAGGAAGAGGTTACGTGTAAGTACACGTAAAATTGAATTGGTATCTCGAAATTTGGGTAAAACGAAAAATGTGCGATTTCATCAAAATATTGGGAATTCGTAAAGAAATCTATATAAATCAATAAAACAAAGCTTTGCCATCCGCCTCATAGATGGCGCTAATTATTAAATTTTTTTTTTCAATGCAATTTAGTAATTGGTTTGCGGATATTATTCGTATATTAATTGTATTGATGTTTTAAAAAACAATATTAATCCAAAATAAAAGGCGAAACATAGTAACATAAATAATAGTATATTATTCAACAAGCATATAATGGCGGCTGTTACCCACGAAGATGAAGTTGCAATACGAGCGAGCAAAGCGAGTAGGGATGCAACATCGCTCATAAAAACATCGATATTAGAACATCGATGTTTTCCAAAAGTGAAACATCGATATCGAAAATATCGACGTATTATACCGATACATCGATGTTTTAAAAAAAATATTCAGTGGCAGAATTTTTATTATAAGAATTATTATAATAATCAATAATTTTTGGACCGCGGTCTGCATCACTTGACTAAGCGACAAATAATAATAATAATAACTTTATTATCATAAATTTAATCACTAAAACTAGAGACAAAATGATGACGATTTGTGTAAAAATTTTTGAAGAAAATAATCTAGAGTTTGATATTGTACTTTTAAACTGGTTTTTATTTTATATAAAATTTAAGTCTAACCAGTTTCGGCCCTTGGCCATCTTCAGAGACTCTACAAATTGATTGACATCTCTCATGTTATCCATTTTACAAACAAGTTTCTTAATATTTCTTGTTGTTTTGTTAAAAAAGATCACATATCAATGTTGAAATCAGATTATTAGTTACTAATTTACAAAATTAAAGTTTAAAAAGTTGTAAAATAAAACTAAGGACGAAGTGTTACAAGTTTACAGATTAAAATTTAAGAACGCTCTTTTTTAACGAAAGAAATATTAAGAAACTTGGGAAAAATTCAAGAATCATCATGTGGCTTAAAAGTAGACGACTTTTTTTAATCAATGTGAAATGACCCAAAAAAACACGTTAAAAATATAAAGAAAGTGCGGAAAAGTGACTAACACTAGATTAACTTCAGTTATAAAACTTCTATTACATGATAATTAACTTCAGGTTTAAAATGTCAACCTCACTTTTGACATATTTGTAATCTTCATTAAAAATCGTTTAAAATGAGTGCAAACACGACATATTTATCTTCAATATTAATGAAGTTATGGTCAACTTCCGGTTAAGAATGCCAATTTTGACATATTTGTAATCGTCGTGAAAAGTCCTTTAAAATGAGTCCAAACATGTTATATTTAATTCCAATATTAATCGAGATATAAGCAACTTCCGCTTGGAAATGTCAATGTCATTTTGACATATTCATAATTTTTATAAAATGTCTTAATATTTGTCACAAAAGCAAAAGTATAATTAAAAAAATAAAAAATTAAGGTTGGTATTAATATTTAAAAATGAAATTGCTATGTTCATTGTTGCTAACTTAGGGTTTAATATTTTTTATTCTAACTTTTTTGTTTTTTGAGATAAGTGCGTCATCTTTGGACTCGTTTTAAAGGTTTTTTAATGAAGATGACAAATATGTCAAAATTGACGTTGACGTTTCAAACAGGAAGTGATTACATTTCCATTAATATTAAAGTTAAATATGTCGATTTTAAAGGATTTTTTATGAAGTTGACAATTATGTCAAAATTAAAAGTACGAATTTTTTGGTTTTTTGAGATAAATGTGTCAAGTTTGGACTCCCTTTAAAGATAATAATAAAATTAAAGTTGACATTGACAACTGAAAGTTTTTTTCAGGACTAAACCCGAATGTTTCTAGTTCTCGTTCGAAAGTTCTAGTTAGAAATGTTCTAGTGATAGTGCTAGTGTAAAACTAGAACTAACACTAGTCCTAGAACTAGAAATATTCGGTCTAGTGTTAGTTCTAGTTTTAGTGCAATAAAAATGTGCAACAGTGATATCTTTTACTAACTAGCGCTACCTTTCGCTGTCGTTTGTAAAATGGATAAGATGAGAGATATTAATCTATTTGTGGAGTGTCTAATATTTCTTTCGTTAAAAAAGAGCGTTCTTAAATTTTAATCTGTAAACTTGTAACACTTCGTCCTTAGTTTCATTTTACAACTTATTAAACTTTAATTTTGTAAATTAGTAACTAATAATCTGATTTCAACATTGATATGTGATCTTTTTTAACAAAACAACAAGAAATATTAAGAAACTTGTTTGTAAAATGGATAACATGAGAGATGTTAATCTATTTGTGGAGTCTCTGAAGATGGCTAAGGGCCGAAACTTGTTTGACTTAAATTCTATATAAAATAAAAGACAAACTTTCAATTTTATACTAACATCTAGAAAACGATACTGACTCGAAATTGTAGGTTCATCTATTTTTTCTATTGTAGAATTTCTTGGTGTATCTAGCATTTTTTGTTTTCAAGTTATTTTGATTTTAAGCTTTTTTTGGCAAATTTCACCATGCTCTTTAAAAGCCCATATCTCAGTTAACGTTCATTAAAAAAAACCTCTAAATTGGCACGATTACTCTTCAGATGTTGTCAAATAGATTGTCATTTCTTGTATCAGAGTATCTTATACAGGGTGGTCAAAAATTGAATTACCGTTTCTCCATATTCAATGGCTAGAAAGTCGAAAATTTTAAATGGAA